AACTAAACATACACCTGATTGCCTATGTTTCACGGTTTTTTTGATTGAATATTTTTTTCAAATTCAAATTATTCAAATGCAATTTCGCGCCGCTGTTAATTTTTTTTCAATGCGAAATTTTAATTCAAATTCGGTCACCACAAGGTCCTAAGTAATAGATAAAATAATTCTGCCCATAGTGTTCTGTATAGGCAATTATACCGGGACATTTTTTTTAACTTTGAACATATGGAAAAGGAGTATGGGCCTAAGCAAGTATACATGAATGTAATGGAAGTATGCAACCAACATAACACCAAATATTTTTTTGAATTATTATTGTCATAAAGTAATAAAGTATTGAGTTACTATTGCTTGTGGCGTTTTTTTTTTCAGGTTGGCAACATATTTAAAATTTTATGATGACATACCCCTGATGTAAAGTTGACATTTTAGGCGTGCTCATATCAAAATTAACAACATTACACGCTACATTTCAACATAAACTTTTAAAAAATATTGAGCCAAAATCTTCTAAAATATCGTCGCCAAGTTTCTAAAGAAAGTGCATTTTGAAGATACCTATGTTATCTAAGAAACCACAAATGAAGCAACTTATTAATGTGCTGAACGATAGCTTGAGATTGACATCATCCATTTTGGCAGTTGACAACCAAACAAATTTTAGTAAGTGTGTTCCTAATTTATAATTTTCAAAGATGCCTAAAATTTCAGAACAATCAGTTTGATGGTTTTGAATATTATCTATTTTACAAATAACTGGTGTACTTCCACTTACCTTTTTAGTTCCTGAGTGATGGCAGCTTAGGGAAAAATGTAATAAGGTCCGTAACTAATTTCTTCGACTTTTCATTGTGATAACCCAAACTTCCCGCCTTGAAATTTGACCTTGGAAAAAAGTTTGAAAGGCCCGCAAAAAAATTTAAAAATTCAAAGTTTGGCCTTGGCTGTGATCGTCTAACAAATGAGAACCTACGTTGTGTTTTTTTTTTGCTTTTGAAAAATGGCGGGAAGAAGTTCTTTCATACAAGTGCATACACTGTCGAGAGCGCAAGAAATAATTAACAGAAATTGTTTTGGAGGGGGGGAAACGGCACCACCCTCACAGGGGGAAATACGCTGCGAAGATTTACCCCTCAGCGCAAAAACCCCCTTGGTTTTATTCCCGGACGACATTTTATTACATTTCAAACACCTTAAGATATGTGAAAGAAAAACACTCGCGAATTGACTGAAAGAAAAACACTCCCGAATTGACAGAAAGAAAAACACTCGCGAATTGACAGACATACACATACGAAAACGAACAAACGGAAAATTCTATAACTCTGTTTGGAATCAATGCAAATATTTGAATATCATAAATTTAATAAAACAAAGTAAAAACTGAATCAAGTAACTGGATGCAAGTACACAAGTTATTACAGGCGTGTGGCGGCCAATCTCCTTTCCCTTTTTAAGTAACGGCAGTTAATAGGAGCACAACAAAAATACCCTGAGGGGGCGTCGTAGCGTGAGCGAAGTTTGGAGCTCCCGGTCTGGGCTGGTTTCCCCCGCGACGGTGATTCTATCTACACCAAGCCTGCCGCACATCACCCCTCCATTACGAACATGTTGTCCTAGCAGGCCGTTTCGGCCTAAAACTAGACGTGAAGTCTGGTCAACTACTACCTCGTCGTCAAGACCGTTCCCACTGAAATCTGATTCAAAGCCTGCACATCTTGTGCAGACAGCGCGATACATTCCGCTACCGCAACTAGGAACTGCGCCCATCGCAAACACTACGTGGTATTTGTTATTTACCTTCAATTCTATTTAAATGTTCAAACTCCATGACTCTGATATTAAATTACAACCGAACAAGTGTTAAAGTTTCAACAAAGAGCAATAAACAACATTTAGATTCGCCATACAATCTTGTGAAATTTTAAACAACAAATAATTCTTATGTGAGATTAAAGTTGGACATCAAATAATTTATATGATAGAAACATTCAGCAACAAAGCATTTACAAAACAAAACTTAGCAAGGATTTATGAAACGAAAGATCTGGTGTGAAATAAACTTGTACAAATAGAAATATTATGTGAGGTTAGAACTGTAGAACATGAAATTTACGTTCAATTAAATTTATACAACAAATAAAATTACTGAGGTTAAAATTGTGAGATTAAGAAATATTGTATGAGGTAGAAAATTTGCAGAGTTAACATAATTTACAGGAGATTAATATTTGCCACACTTTATCAACGGTTCAAACAAAGAGTTTACACTATGTCAAATTATATCATGATCTAAGTGATTGGTTACTTCAAAAAAAAACAATTTACTTTGAGAGTTTAAAATACTACGAACTGGTTACCCCAACAAAACACATAATAAACAAACACAAAAATATCCAATCATCGCTCCGAGGAAAAAGCGTCTCGGGGATGTAAATTCCAAAATCGTTGCGAGGAAAAAGCGTCTCGGTGATGTAAATTCCAAAATCGTTGCGAGGAAAAAGCGTCTCGGTGATGTAAATTTCAAAATCGTTGCGAGGAATTGCCTCGATCATCAAGATAACGATGATAACCACCTAAGGGAAGGAATTATCATAACCCCCGCCAGTCCGCAGTATAATGAACTTGTTTAACTGCCGTAAATGAACTATTAGCAATCTTGTGTGAAGAATTTAGAAGTGTTATAATGTAACACTTACGTATATGCATCCAGAGACCTATTCGTAATTAAATATAAGGCGCTTTCCTGACTAAGTGAATTTGATGAAACCTTCTAGCAAACGGTTTATTTAAATAATCCTGATTGTTAAATTGTGTTCGCACTAGCTGACCATTAAGAAAAACTAAATTGATTGGTGAATTTCCAAACAACGAACAAATTTACACCACGTGGTTTCTGTGGACCGGAAGTCGGTGTTTTTCCGATTAAAAGGGCGCAAAAATTAACCGCGCGGGTTGGGGACAACTGCATCACTATGAAAAATACGTTTGATTGTCGTTAAACAAAGGCTTCCTCCCGTTTTATTAACTACCAAACCAACTAATTTAAACCTAGTTCTTACCACGTGGTTACACAGACACAGCCACATTCGTAATGACAGACCCCTCCAGTTTTTCTACCAACCCTCTAACTGAAATCACCCTAGCGCTACGTGCTGCCATCTAACCAAATGATCATGCAAACTAACCCCTAAGCGCTACGTGCATTAGGCCAGACATGCATTAACCCAGACGTGTTTATTTGGTTGCCTATGTTTAACGATTCGTGATGGAACTTTTTCTTTTTTTTTTTCAAATTCAAATTATTCAAATGTGATTTCGCGCCGCTGTTAATTAATTTCAGCGCGAAAACTTTGATTTAAATTCGGTCACCACATCATAGTTCCTAATTTTTGCTTATTGACATTAAAGTTGCAGTTTATTGAACGATTATGTCATTAAGATCGGTACTAAAACAACACATACGATTCAATCTCTGATTTTAGCATATGCAACTTATAGAGAAGATAATGTGTAACTCGTGTTGACTAGTCTAAACCCTCAATATTATATACATCTGTTATATTAGTTGTTCTGTGCCCTCAATTAGACACTAAACATACCTAATTAATAATTCTTACATAGGCGCGTCTTTTATCGTGTGGAAAGCCGACGCACCCCGAAAAGGTGTTCGGCTCTAGTCGTCGGGGTTGCAGGGATTCCAGTGGCGTAGGTTAAATATGATTTCAAATTCACAAATAAAATATTATCACCCACTTTTATATAATTTTAAATTACAAGGAAGATATGTTTTGTACTACAAATAATTTGTAACGTGAAGCATATAAACATTTATTTAATTATAAAAAATATCACTAAATGTGATATTTTAAATCAAAGACAGTTTTACGTGAAATAAAAATCTCAATTCTAGACAGAGATTGTATATTCTAAGAATTATTATGGTGCCAATAAATAATACAGAAACGGCATTCAGCCACTAATACGTGCCTCTAAAGTCATTTTCTGTTTTGTTGGATTTTGAAAAAAAAAGTAAGTAGTTATATTAGTGTTTTAATAAGCAACAACATGTATTATCTGATTCAACTCTACCTACATCTGTGATATATTCGACGACATACGTAATACATGTTACTAAACACGCCATTTTCTATTTCCTTGAAAAGTGCATTAAGACTGTTTATAATATAAAAGCTCGATTAAAATCTTGAAATCATGTACGTTGCTAATTTTTAGTAGGTCATTAGAATAACGAGATTGCTTATAGAATTATCTATTAACTGTAACAAGACTGTATATTCTCTGTTTATTGTATCATCATACTAATAGCGTCTCTAATCGTTTGAAGTCACCACAAGCGCTACTTGAAATTCTCTATAGTACCTTCAACATAAAAGTAAATTACATTGTGTCATATGCTGAATGCGCAGTGGATATGCAATCATAATTCTTGGATTTTTCTTCGTTGTGGACTCACCTCACTTTGTGGATACTTCATACTGCATGCTAAAGATTTTTCTGTGTGTTTTTTTTTTAGTAGGTCGTTAATATAGTTGTAGAAGAAGATGAATGAAACGAAAAAATATGACTTCATAACTTTTATTAAATCAAATAAAGTTGTTATAATATATTTTACACACCTAACAAAAAAGAAAAAAGGTAAAAAGGCAATGATATGATAAATAAGTAAACTGTAAATGGTTAAATACATATAATGATATCTCTAAATCTGTGAAATAATTGTGTAGTAATAATAATTCACTTAAGTTTATCATTATTTTTTCATAGAATCAGGTAAAAACTAACACATACATTACACATAATCTACAGAGAAGTAGAATATAGGATTTGTTGGTAACTATATCTAACATAATTTAAAACTTAAAAAAATCTAAGATCTAGTCAATATAGCAAGTAAAAACTGGCATTTAATGGCAAGTTTCATGTCGATTATAAATTTATAAAACGTAGTTAACAAGTTGTGCTTTCAAAGTTTGTATAGGTAGTTAACCTATAAAGAAAAGAGTACACATAACGTGGTGAAGGAGGGATCATTCAAAAATGATCCTCAAGAGTATCATCAATTAAGTATACAATGTTTTTTTCAAAATATACAAAAAGATAGGAAACAAGCAGGTACAAAATTCTAGAGATGACGAATATTGCAAGGTTCCCGTTTGCCCGAACCGTATGCTAAAAAAATAGCAATTATCTCTATATTAGCATCTTATTTACAATAAATTATTTAATTCCTTTGAACAAAGCCGTTAGTGCGAAAAGGACATCAACTAAAGCTCTTGTATATGTTTGTTTAAAAGACTATATAAATATTATAAGCGGACGGTGTAAGTTTTATAAAGAATAAAGGTGCAGGTTAACACCTAAATTGTTCGACCATTCCTTCAGGTAACTCTCTTTTCAGTCCATCCGTTACAATCCAAGGCAGTTGTTGATATGAAATCATAGATATGAAATGGCACATTTAATTCTTCAAGTCGATTGGTAACTAGCGCGAAATTAGTAAAAACCCCTTTAAAAATCTAGGAATCGATTCTCTATGATTTTGGTCGACGTTCAAGGGGAAAGCTTTTTGACTCTTTTTTATATTTTTCTATAAAAATACACAAAATAAAGCGAATATAAAAATTAAATAGTTGCAGGTAACTCCCGACAGGTAAATTTATTACATAACTATTAAAATATATAATTCTTTTTTGTAAACAGTGTAAATAAAATATTTTTTTAAGTATGTACAGTGCCTTGACTAGGTATATCGCATATATTAGTGGTTCCACACGATCTGTGTAGTGGTAACATTGGAAAAATAATAAAAGCTTATAATATATTACTATAAATCCTAATTATACATTATCACGTAAAATTGTAACATAAGTTTCTGCTCTCAAGAGTATTATCTTCAGGTTCGCTATCTTTTCTTGGTCACGTATTCAAAAGATCTTGTCACAAACAAAAATTGTGAACGCCAGAAACTGTTCTTGAAATAACGGTTTCCGATTAGCTTTAGTGCTAAATTTAATCAATTCGCTTAAATTGCTTTAGCACTACCGCAACACGTAATGTAATTACATCAATTAGGTAAAACTAAGCCTACAAGAGTAAGCAACAATAATTTTTACAAAAAACGTAAAAAACATCAATTGTAAATAGTGATGTGTCTTCTCAAAGTGGAAAAGGTACATATCATGTCTAATAAGTTTAATGTGCATAAGTATTGCAACACCAAAAGTTGTTTAAACATAATTCGGAATTACAAAGAAACTGCCCAAAAAACGGCCAGCCCCAGACTAAATCATTGCCTCAAAAATACTTTTTTAGGCCATGACCCATTCGGAATTTTGGGCAATTTCTGCGGGGAAAGACTATACACGTAAATACGACCTATATATATCAACAAATCACATAGAAGAGTTTATCACGTTTCGAAAAATATTAACTAACAATTTAGAAAGGTAGGCTAGCGACGAACATTCTTTCAATAAGGGGAGGGGCCGGAACCAAATCTTCCAATTTCAGATAAAAGATCCTCTGCAGTCCTTGCACGCTCAGGGACCGCAATTCGGGCAATTTGCCCAATAACCTACTGAAATAGTGCGCCTTCCTCTGCGCCTCCGCGTTGTACGTCACGTGATCTCTCAATGAAGAAATAATCTTCATCTGGAGTTGCTCCACACGGTGAGGTTCTTTCAGCCCGTGGCGCTCTGGAAGCAAGAATTTCGCATGTTAACACTCTTGTTGCGCCTTTCGCAATCGATTTATTTCAAGCATTTCAAATCGTAAATAAATTTGCACAACATAGCTACGAACCGTTGCCAAACTGTCGAATATTTTTAAACGTCCATCTAGATTACCAGTTTGATTGATAAAAAAATTAGGTGGCTCAAGGAGAAGTCTGTCAAAGTCAGTTCCGTGAAGATTATAGGTATTCGTTGCATATTCGAGGCGAATTCCGAGCTCGCTATTCCAACAAAACGATCAACAAGCGGTTAGCATTTTTCGACTGATGGTGGTTTTGCATTTTCGACATGTTTTAGACTATCTCGAAAACCAGGAATTTTAAGTATGTTTGAATCCTCTCAACTGATTTCGTAACATATACAGAGTGACTCAGCGTAAGGACGCTCTTGTTGTGGACTGATTTTTTTGCCAACGAATTTGTCGTGTGCACTGACCAGCTATAAATTATTTTTTTTTAGTTATTTATCTGATTTTATCGATTTCTTAAATTGAATTAATGAGAACACCAATGTTGCTCACATATGTAGTTAATGAATGAAATATTTCCTAATTATTAAAAACACTCTAAAATTGGACCAAATTTGCAATTTGAGTGGGTTATAAAATATAATAAATTCGGCGAGAAATCGATAATTAAATTCTAGAGTTTATGATCAACAATTTAGCGTTGTTTGTTCTAAATTAACTAATTAAAATGTAACTATTCGGTTTTGTTATGCAACCTCATAACATCAAAGTTTTAGAAGTTTGAGAAGCAGTTTTTATGTATTACAATATTTTTACATTTATAGTCGCCAAAACATTTTACGAAATGTAGTGGATTTATAAAACTGATTTATCGTCGAAGATTTCATCTGAAAACACTACCACTTTAGAAGACATAAACATTCTTCTTTGGTGTGTTCACTTGCTAGTCCGTTTTCATTTCAAACACATAATTTTGATTTTTTATATCTACTGACTGATACTCGATAGTTACACAAAAGTGAGTGACATTTTTTTTAGGTTAGTATGTTGCATATATACCGGGTGACTATTATTAGTGATTGAAAAGCAAATTTTTGTGTTGGCAATGCTGAAATTTTAAAGAGGTTGCCAATTTAAAAAAAAAATAATATATAGTTTTAATAAGTTTCCTGAGACAAAAGAGATAAATAAGATTTTTTGTAGTGGTCTTAGATATTTTCTGAATTTGCTTCTGTTTAATTTTGCGAAAAGAGAAGTATCAAAAATTTGCTAGCTACACCCGATGAAATATGCACATTGCGTTACAAAGAATTGCAGGATTTGCAAAGCTAGGGCGTCCCTCGTAATAGCGACCCTGATTCTTTCCCAGGAGCAGGCTAATAATAGCCGTTTAATGAAAAAAATGCAACGTTATTAAACTGTTACTTGCGTTTGCGGTGAGCTTAATTTATGTATAAAATACTGTGCAGTCATGGTCTTTGTACCTGAATAAATTATGCCTCGGTGAGAGTATTAAATTAAAATCACGCATTTCATACGACGGCCGTATCGTGATCCAATTCCGAATTCGATTAATTTCAAATATCATCAAGTTTCAATCAACTTTGACAGAGCTTCTCGTATAAATAATTTATAACCTCCGACCTCACGCGAATCCATCAACAACGACACGGCTTCACTTACCGGTGATCAGGGTGAGGGCACACAGACATGCGAACGCCGAAATGTCTATCTCCATCGCCATCAGGCCGCTGCAGAACTCCATGATGGCATGCAGCCAGTCGCCGAAGGACCTTTGACACTGCTGCTTGTCCAACACGACCCCGTTGCAAAACGTCAGCTTCGTATCGTTCGGGTGGGTGCGGTAAGCTAGCCTCAAAACGAACAGTTCTAAAGAAGCCGATTGGAAAAGCAGCTCGCGATCTTCGGGACACAAGTCTTGGAAGCCGGGGATCTTGTCGGCGAAGTTCTTGATCACGTCCACGGAGGTCGTCAGGAGGGTGTAGAATTGCTGGATTTTCTCCGCCTCGGAGATAACAGGCTCGATGGGGCTGGGCTCTAAGTACTGGGAGTAGTCTAAGTTTGCGAGATCTGGCGTGGTGTCGACGTGCGCTCTAACTAAAGCCGTGATGAGGGAGACTGGAGGGCTAGGTGGCGACTCTTGAGGGGACTTGGGCTTGGAAGGCAGCCGTCCCCTCCGACCTTTAAGAGAGTCCGTCCGCACTACTTCCTTGACCATCCCGACCGCCAAGCACTTCTGGAAGCGGCAGAACTGGCAGCGGTTCCGCCGTCGCTTGTCCACGGGGCAGGCCTTGTCCGCTAGACAGACGTACTTCGAGCCCTTCTGGACCGTGCGCTTGAAGAAGCCCTTGCAGCCCTCGCAGGTGCGCACCCCGTAGTGCTGGCACGCCGCCGTGTCTCCGCAGACGGCGCACAGCTGCGAAGGGCTGGGGGGCGTCGGTCCTTTGGAGCCGGACTCGGCGGCGCCGCCCGGGGAGCTCGCCGCCGAGGAGCAGGCCGAGGGTGCCGCCATGCGGAGCTTGGGGCTCTCGCTGCTGCTGGTGGACTCTGAGCGCTGCAGCGGCAAGGAGGCCCGCCGCTGGCGCGGGCTCAGCGTGGTGCTGACGTGCAGCTCGGAGGTGGCGGTCTGGTAGGCGGGCAGCGAGTAGGAGTCCTGCGACATGAGGGCCTCGAAGCTGGGGCTGCAGGTCTGCGGGGGCGGGTAGTAGGGGCTGGCGGTGGTGTACTGGAGCTGCTGGTAGTCGTAGTGGTGCGGCGCGGTGACGTGGTGAGGCGTGGGCGGGTGGTGGTAAGAGACGTTGAAGCACTCTTCGTCCATCTTGAAGGGCGCGTTGTAGCGGACCGAGTAGGTCTCCTGGAAGCTGGGGAGAGGCGCCGGCGAAGCGGGCTGGGACTGGAGGGCGACTTCCGGGAAGGGGTCGAGGTCTTCAGGGGGCAAGACACTGCTGGGGTCGTCCGAAAACGGTGCACTCAGCAGATCCGCGAAACTGCTCGAGCCAAACGGAGTCTGGAACAAAACGCACCATAAATGGGGGCATCGCAGAGGGACTAATTATAAGCGAGCGGCCGTGTCGGTCGGCAGGTGATCGGAGACAGATTGTTGTAATTGTTATCTGGGTTCTAGTATAGACAGGGGAAGGCTAGGCTAGCACGCGGACCATGAAGAGGCGTGGTCGCCTGCTACCGTTTCATTGGTAGGATGGTGAACATGCGTCGGCGTTTCTAGAGGGACGCCGCGACGCCCAACATGGCCGCGTGACACGGAACTCTCGCCTCAATTCGATCAGGGTTTCAATTATTCACTTCACTTACTACCTTGGATTAGATTCTTTCCCTTTATGTTCTTCTCTGTGGCAAATTGACCGCTATTAAACAACAGCTTTTTGTCCCCATGTTAAGAAGGAAGGTCGACCCTTAGTATTAGAAAATGTTAGTCTGCAAAGTGCATGCGCATAATTTTCTTGCATTACGACCACAAAACGAAAAAGATATTAACGATGTAGCGGTTGATTTCATTGGATAAAAATTTCGCCTTAAATTAACCTCGAACACTGATATATGGGAGGTAAGGTAAGTAAGTGTTCGTGTGGACAAGGTGACTAAAAATGATTGTCCACGTTATCACCATATATTACATATAAAATGTCGGCTTAATGTCTACTATAGTTTTAGATTCATTAATAAAGTGTGAAAAATGACCCGATACCTTGCTCTTGTCACCTCACTTGTTCTCAAACTCTGTATAAATTCTTACAACAGCACACAAAATTTACATAAATTACACCGGGTTTTCGCAAAGCTCTCGTAAGTTGTCCATAAAATTGTTAATACTGACCATAAATATATTTTTCATTAAAATAAACGACCATATATAAAATAAACTATTAATTAATCTTTTAAATAATTCAAAAGTAGAACTTAAATGGCTATATTATATTGCTGCGAGTTCTCGATTGTTAAATAAAACCTATAAATTAAATAAATATATACATATTTTTTTAAATGAAGACATTTTTTCAAGCAAATTATCCCACATTCGTGTTTTTAACCTAATCTAACAAACTAGGGCTGCATAGTTTATAAAGTTTAATAACTACAGTTTTCCTTACCTATACATATTGCCATCCGTTGTGTTATTCTTATTATTGCCAGTGGTAATATTTGGAAGAAGCATAGTACGAATAATGAAAAAAATAATGACTGGAACAATTTTAAATAAAAACATAAAGTACAAAAACAGCAGATGTAAAACAATTTTAACGAAAACGTAAAATTAATTAAAAAATTATTAAATTACTCAAGACAGGGGACAAATGAAAATTTCTTTATTATAATTATTTTGACATTTTTTTCAATTTCATTTTTATTTAAAGAAAGAACATTTACTAATTAATCTATTGACGAAATTTTAGCTTTCAGGCGTTAAAACTTAATTTGCCAAAAATTTTTAAACCTTAAGGTGGCAAAATTTGCTCGATACCTTAAACTTCTGGATTATGTTTCAATGTACATATATCTTATCGCTGTAGCTGCAAGTATATCGTTTTACAAAGTATAAGGTACAGTAAATTAACTGTAACAACCACTAATTTTGTTATTTTCGCTTCACGCAACGCTTTATCCAACATTCTTCGAGTCTGTCGGTGTCGTGTTACCTTTTTTTGCAGTAATTTTGGTTTTGTAAAACATTCAAACTTTCGTTCACTGCTGGGAAAGTATTATTATGTTGTCAATTTAGTGGTAAGCTGTCCATAACACGTTTTGCTGATTTTTTGGGAAACTTTGATATTTTTCTTAAATATCCTTTTAAATTCATTTATATTTTTAAGTGAACTTTTTCTCCTTCTGTACTCTACGTTGCACAGTGGGACTTTTGCATTTCTAGCAAAAACTTTAGGTCTCTTTGTAAATTTTTCGGCACTAGTCATCTGACTTCACTACAAAATAGCTAAATTTTCCTTTGTCTCTCGAAATTTAGATACAATTTGAATTTAAGGAATTTAGTGTAACGTAATGCAAAAAACCTGAAATGATGATCACTTTTGCTGTTTCCATCATTAACAGCTTTCTATTTAAGTAAGTTTCCCATTTTTATCGTGGAATGACTCTTTTCTTTCGTTCAAACAAATTTCCGATTGCATTGTGGTCTTCAAAATCGCAGCTATTGCCCACACACACACAATTTCAGTGAATGCGCATTACAGAAGCATGTTGTGTAAGAAGCATTATTATTCGCTATTAATTTACTTTAATTGGTTATTTGCAGTGCGCCTATTTTAAGTAATATGTCTTTGTACGGATATGTATGGCACGGGTACGCACAAACATTGGGAAATTACCATTAATCCTACATTATATTATCTATTATTACTAACTATTCGGAACATAACTTTTAACAAAGGCACATAAAACGAACAAAAAAATCTGATAACACCTACGCCTCATCTAGACATTAGAGAGTTCCTACAACTAATTGAAATCTTGAAGAGAATGCGCTTGCTTAATTTTAGAGTTGTGCTTAAACGAGCCATTAAAGCTCAACGTCTGGAACATCATTTCCTTGAGTACCCTCAACAATGAAGGAGCAAATATTTTGAACACATGTTCTTGTCTTGTTACTAATCATTTTAAATTTAACACAACACTTCTGTGTTTCTAGAAGTTACTTGGCTGTTGTTGAATGACTGTGTTACTCCAAATCAACGACCGTGAGAAGAAGCGAAGAAATCAAACTTAAAGTGAGTAGCTTTTGTTTTAAGAGGACTACAAACCTCTTTGTCCTTCTAAATTTAATTGTCGTGTAACATTTTCTCGCAAATAGAGCGAAGTGTGCACTGATGGCACGACATAATCTATCATAATGTGTACGATAAATCTTAGGCTGCAATAACTTTGTAGAGATTATACCCTTATGCTCATAGTTACTATAATTATGGAAGTTATAAACTGGAATTTAATTGCAATAATTACTACGTGCTCATAGTCGCTATCTCCTATCGTCCCGTTGCAAAAGTCCTCCCCCATTGTTGCCACACAGAATTCTAGCACACCCTGCGCAAAGCGTTACCTTAGATCTTGGAAAGTGAGTTCCGCGGCGTTGTTGCTCTCGACTTATTTGTCCCGTCGGACAATGTTGTAAATAATCGTTCGGCAAAGGTATAAATAAAGCTTAAGCCGTGCGTCAGATTGCTGCAGTATTTATAACGGTAGCACGCAATGATCGTGGATCTGAGCCACGCATCAAGAATCCGAAGGCTGAACCACATACCACAATTGCAAGCGTTTCCGTCGGCAACAACCAACAGCTGATCCAGTTCACATTCACCACCAGATTTTACATCTTAAGCTAATGTCCACTCAAGTAATTAGACGTAATTACAATGATTAGATACTCATCTGAAGACTAACGACCGTCCATCAATTACTTTCACAACATTGGGACTTGCAAAATCCTTTATGATTTCGCTCGTCATCTATTATTGCACGTTAAAACAAGATTATGGCCGGGTTTGATTGATCGGACTATTTTTTGCCGGTGCATGATTTATCAAGATTTGGCAACAAATATGGACACATTGGCCAATTTTGACCCCTTACGTCATAATCCGTACCCATCGGGTTGTTATCTGATGGTTCGCGCTTAAGGTAGATCCCTGGTGAAATGTTTTTACACGATCGGCTGTTACTTAAGTATTTATTAAGTTAACACCTGGAGAACCCGCAAAAAATTTAATTGTACCACTGAAAGATTATGTCTTGACCATCAAAGTATGAAGATATTTATCACTATCACGTAAAGCGTGTAATTACGTGTTAGCTTAGGCGGTAATTAAAAAGCAACTGATCCACATAATTGATAGAAAAGCTCGTCACGTATTTCGTTGTGAAAGGTGGCATCATCAGGATTGTTATTAATTAATAGCCTTCATTAAGAGTTAAAACATGTTAGGATGGCTGCTTGTACATTAAATCGGTAATTAACAAAAGCGGGAAGTTTGAGTATGTAGACGGTCTGTAAAAGGCATAATGAGACCTTCGACTTGTTAAAGATCCATTTATATTAATTTTTTTATTTTAATGGATTGGTTAAAAAATTGGTTGGTAATGCTCGAAAATGAATTTCTCTTGACGTCAATTATTAACAATTTCTGCTTGTTTGTCATTTTACTTTCCAATTGTTGCAGAATTGAGGTTGTTTCCTTTTTGGATTTAAGTGTTGATAAAAATATTTACAAGTTATGGAATTATGGAAGATTGCAGATAGTATCCCTAATTACTTATTTAATGATAATTTGCCTTATAGAGATGGCCGGAAATCGAGGCGGGAATTTAATAAGCAAAATTGGATTGCCCCCGTGCAAATATGGTAATCGACAGATGGAACAGGGTGTTTGCGGTATTTATTTTTTTTAATCCAATGAAACTGATTACCAATAGATTAGCAGGTATTACTTTAGTGGTATGCAATTATTTCTAATGAATTACGTTATTGACAAATATTAAGCTGCACTTACACAGGTATGGTATTGGCGGCATATCAAAGTAATAAATTTTAGATGCTAGGTTTAAGAATTAATATTTTTGACTATCATAAATCAGCTAGTTATAATTTTACTTTTTGTTAGTGATACGTGATAAAATTACAAAGTATACTAAACGGGTAGGGTAAATGTGTACAAGAGTGCGAATATGTATAAGAGTACGCAATGATGATTTCTGCTTATTAGTGCCATCTGGGTAAGATGAAGTTATACCATTCAGAATTTAATGCTAAACCTGAGATAAAGGTGCAAAAGTGACCTGAATATAGTTTATAGTTTGGTCGTACTGACGATTTTATGTTCACACGTTGTGTGGATGTAATTTTTACCGCTCATAGTTTTAGTTTTTGTAAAGTACGTACCAGTTCTTTTATTTTACAGTAATAATTTTCATTAGTTGTAACTTTTAAGGTCTCATTATACACTAACAGTTTTATACTTTCTATCCATCAAAAGCTTTTAACTT